TTGCTCCTTCCATGCTCCATGCCTGAAGTACTATTCATGCCTGTCACACAGCTAAATCCTATCTAACCTCCAAAAACCAATGAAAATGTTCCTCCTTCATGACTTTCGTTGTCTTTCCCTGTTCTCCAACCTGAAAGGAATCTCACTCTGCCATGTTTATACCACTTAAAATCTGTCTCCTGACTCCTTCCAAAATACTGCCTTTGACTACATTTTGTGTTTTCTGTATATGATATCTGCTAACTGGTTAGCTCGCTGAAGGAAGTTATGGTTACTTTTTTTAATACCCTGAAAACACCTACTTTACTCCCTACAATTTAGTCTTCAAATATCTGTTGAACGAATCCATCAATGAACTCCTGGTAAACATGTATCAGCATGTCATTATAAAGCAAAGAGAGGGTGACTTACGAAACAAGCCTGTTTTGATCACATCTACCATTTGTGAGTGTGTGTGTGTAGGCATACATTCATAACTTTGCAAAACACATGTTAAATATATAAAGTGTTTAATCTGTGCATTCCAGTTTTGATTATTCATGGCATAGTGTTCCTTCACAGAAGTTGATAACAGCCACTCATAAAATGCTACTCCACATAATAGTACTTGCCTTGGTGCTACTGTACTTAATAAAGCACTTAAAAATTCATATCAGAGTACAGAATGCTCTAAACTACAGGAATCAAATTATTTAAATGTGTGATTAAATATGCTATAAAATGATTCGTCAGAACACTTTTTTTATTTGTTAAAGAACATACGTTCTTCCTCAAAATAACTTGCTATTTTTGAACTATTACTCAGCCACACACTTCTTACAAGCAGCAAAGGTTGCCTCAGATAAACCTTGATTTTACAATATTTCAAAGACTTTCCTCTGCTACTCTATGCCAACTGAAAATTCATGAGTCATAGGTGAATGACAGGAGCCGTTTTGGGGGTAATTTTTCCTTAATGCAACTAGTCTGAAATAAAACTTGTTTAGCAATTAATATTTTATAAACCCCCTCATATATAGGATTTTGTTTGCTTCAAAGCAAGGATGAAAACAAATATCAGTATTATCTCCATTTTTCAGAAGACGCAATCAAGTCTTAGAGAAGTTTAAGTGAATGGCTTAAGGATGCACGGCTACTTAATGGTGATACCCAGATGTCTAACTCCTCACACTATCAGGTTTACTTTAAGATTTGAGGCACTGAATTAGTCACCTTTCATTTTAGCTTGAATTGTCTTTGGATAGCCATTTCTTTAAATATAGCTTCTTCCAAATTGGCTAATTAATTTGATATGTTTTCCTTCTTATTATGTTTTTGGTCATTCCTTGTTCATTGATCCACTGAATTTGTGTTAAGTTGGAAACTTCTGAAGTATATTGAAAGATCAGAAAATTTCTAATTAATGCACCGTGTTTAAACACTGTGGCAGAGACAATGCTGTATCTTTCCAAACCCTTTTCTTCCAGGGCATAGAGCTGGACTACATTTCCCAGGCTCCCTTAAGTTAAGTGGAACCATATGATTAAATTAAAGCCAAGGGAAGGCGGGCAGAAGTGATGGCTAACACCTCCAGGTCTGGACTAAAATAACACCCTCCAATGCAGTTCTCCACACTCTCTTCTCTTGTTTACAGGCCAGAAGCAGAGGATCCACTTGGGACTGACAGCGAAGCCACTTAATGGAAGCAGCCAGATTTCCTAAATGACTAGGGAGAGCAAAGGGCTCCCATCACCTGGCCCGCTAATATCAACGCTAACTCAAATTGGATGATGACATGGTGAGAAATAATCCTTTACTGTACTAAGCCATCAAGATTTGGGGCTTGTTAGTTATATTCATCTACCCTAATTTAAACATGAATAAATAACTTGATTTAAATTGACATTTTATAAACAAAAGTATGTGATTTCAGGTACAGATTCCCCAGCTATTATTACCTTTCATAATCAATCAAGTGCTTTTATGAATGTGCTTTGGTGTTAAGTAGGCTTGAGACAAAGAAATAAATTCAAAGTGCTAAGTTGTGGATTATATATAGCTCCTTCAAAACATGGCAATAGTATAGTATTCTTAATTTTGGTATTTTTAAAGTTATTCCTGACTATATTTCATGCACCTAAGGATATACAGGATATATATGTGGGATATATATCCTATATGTAGGATAGGATAGGTTCATTATATAGGATATATTATTAAACTGCTCTTATATAGGTATAAAAATATTAAAAGTCTAAGATTTATATGTATAATGTTCACATTTTAATAACACAGCAAATACTATCTGCCACCCATGAAAAGAGGAGAAGGTTGACATACTCCTCAGCTTTCACAGAGTTGATCCATGGTTTTCCAGACCCTTCCCTGAATGAGTGACTACACTGACTCAAGCTGCCCCTCTGGATTCGAGGATCATTACAACTGGTTGTAGTTACATATTTCTCTTGTTGGTGGCCTCAGATATATATATATATTTTTTGTCCAACTTCCCTATTGAAATGTTAACTTCATGAAGGCAGAAGACTATCTTTTATTTATTTTATATTGCTCTATGCCGGTAAATGCTAAATGTTCTCAAGACCAGAGTATTGGCATGTAAAACTATTTGTAGATATTTTCTTATGTGATAACGATAGAAGTGAAAATACAGAGGAATATAAAAATGCAATGCATCATTTTTGGAAAGCACACCTCAAGGGACATAAGCATACACGGGTGCACATAATTTCCTTCCTTTAACTCATACCTCAACTATAGTAAAATAAGTTTCTGATGCTAACTTCTTAACAGTTTGCAGAATTGGGAAATATCTAAATTTGAAAGCTCACACACATACAAAGTCACTCACCTGTTATCACCCAGAGAGTTAAAGTACATACATTAAATGGAAATTTTATGCATGGAGGTGACAGCGTTGACTTGACACAACATTAAAAGCTGTCCACCATTTTTTAAATTGCAGATAAAGTCCTACCTGAAAAGGCCCCAAAGGGTCAAGTGCCAATGGTGCTTTCATTTGTTTTTACTAATATCACAAGAATTCATTCTTAGAACTTCCCAACCCTCTACCTGCTCCAAATTCTACTCTAGAGCTTATTATAACAAAGGCTTTGATAATTTAGGTGGTAACTCATTCACTAAAAAGTATTTATTGAGCACTCAAGATGTGCCAGGCCCTCAGCTAAGAGCTAAAGACACAGAGTAGTCTACCTATCTAGCCTTCATGGTGGTGATAGGTTATGGAGGAATGCGCACATTAAGCCCATAATTATGAGTGAGAAAAATGGGATGATGGAAACTCAAGTGTTAATAACCACCAATAGCTCAAGATTTCAGGAACACAAAAGCTGGGGGGTTGCTGAATGAGAAGCATCCTCTTTGCCCTTTGCTGAGGATTCAGACCGTACTAGAAGAACATGCAAGGTATGTTCTTGATCATCCAGCAAATGTATTCTCCTTTACTAAAACACTAGTTTCTGTTGGGGGCAAAATAATCACTTCCTTCTAATGTTGCCTCTAAACCCAATGCTGTTTGCTCCTCCGCGCCTTCCAATTTATCTTTCATAGACCCAACTCAACTTCAATAATATGGTAACTCAGAGAGACAAAAGAATTTTCACAATCTTCACACATCTATCATATCTAAATATGGAATGATTTTCCTTCCTATTTCAATGGTCCACCACAGCTCCCATTTTTTTTTTTTATCTCATTGGCAGGGGCTTTTTAATGCAATTCCATCTAAATAATGTGTGTTTCCCTCTTTTCTTCCCATTGGATTGTTCCTTACTTCAGAGGTGGAAAAACATTAATTTTCTTTGGATTTCTTCAGCTCCTAGGGCAGAATCTTACCTAAAATTAGCAGGCATATCTATAATGGAATAAATCCTTATTTTAAAAATATTTACAACCTCTCTTCTTAGTTGCCTACCTGCACAGGGGGTATAATATATTCATTAAAAGGAAGATCAACAGGTATTAAAAAGAAATACTAGATACACTAGGTACCCAATTACTTAATTGGTGTTTTCCTCCAGAAAAATAGGAATGTCATTCATTGACAAGGAAGAGTTAATTTGGGGATAAGAGGGCAGATGGTTGTAGGCAGCAGCAAACACCGACAGGTTTGTCCACTTGAAGGAACTTTAAGAAATAACCCCTCAGCTGTAAAACTACCCACTTAAAAAACATATACTTTAGAAAGATTTTGTGAAAGTATTTTGTTTTCTATTTAAAATTCATTAAATTTTTGCCTGGTTTAAAAAATATATCCTGAAATAGGGAAACATAAAGAATGCGAATTTTAAAAACAAATTAAGATTTTTCTGGGGCCAGCCTTGTGGCCGAGTGGTTGGGTTCACGAGCTCCACTTCGGCGGCCCAGGCATTCGCGGGTTCAGATCCTGGGCGCGGACATGGCATCTTTCATCAGGCCATGCTGTGGCAGCATCCCACGTAACACAACTAGAGTCTACAACTATGTGCTGGAGAGTTTTGGGGAGAAGAATAAAAAAAAAAGAAGATTGGCAATAGTTGTTAGCTCTGGTGCCAACCTTTAAAAAAAGAAAAAAAGATTTTTCTTATGAGCTTTGTGATAAGATGTAATAGCTTTTCCCAACTGTAGCCCAAAGATTCCAGCTGCAAGAAATTTGAATCTTAGATTCAAAACTAGAGATGTAAGTGATGTCAGGTAGCATAGTAGTTTATTTAATTAAAAAGCAAAAAACAAGTCATTTTTATTTTCAACTGCTGCAGAATGACTGTCTTTGTATATTCGTTTGAATAATCCAAATGATGCTGGATAAATGTTGATTGAATAAATTAATTAATTATTGAATGAATGAATCCAGCTCTCATCTTTGCATCACAGCATTGAACACAATGCTTGGCACATAGTAGGCATTCAATAAATCTTCAATGAAATCAACTCTCCCTCCCACAGCCTGGTGAGAAGACTTTTGCAGAATTAATTCTCTAAGACTTCTCTTGTATCTCATATTTCCACCTCCTTCATCTTATGTAGTGGTGGAAAGAAATTGACCTTCATTTGGAAACATTAGGTTGTAAAACAATCATCAAATGAAACAGTAGAGTAGCATGCCTCAATGCAGGAAAATCATTAGTTCTCAAGCACCCATGAAACTATCTGTTAGTCTTTATAAACATTCGTTTGGCACTTACGTGAGTAAAGAAACAAGACAGGCATGAAACAGTACACCAGAAGATACTGGGGAAGGTGCCAGCTCAAAAACTGCAAACAATTCAACCAAGTTTCACATCAAAAGACCACATCCAGTGAATGCAAGGGTTCCCTCCCTTTATTGTGTAGCTACTTTTCAGAAAACTCTTCTCTAAAACTTTTTAATGTCATAAAACTAGTGAAAACAGAATCTGTTTACTTGTAATACTAGTATCGATGGTTGTCTAGTGTTCATTTGCTTCTTGATTACTGGAACATGTAATAAAAGTTAAATTCTTTCACCTAAGCAACTTTATAACCCTAGTTGTGATTTAAAAAAATTAAAAACATCAAGTAGCAAATTCAATTAGTAAATTTGCAATTGCTTTCTTAATCTAACATATTTTTAAAATTTAATTATCCCAGACAAAATTTTATTAGTTAAGTTATACATAATGCATTTTTATGTACCTAAATAAAGCATTGTAAAGGCCTTAAAATAAACATTGCATATAATATCCTGTTTTTCCAAGGGGCTGGGAAGAAAGATTATTCTGATTCTTTCCATGACTTTTAAATTTCCCAAATTTTCTTAGTTTTTGTGAAAATAATTATAAACTAACCTATAAGAAGTACATGAACAAAACCTTTACTGGATAGTTTTTAAAAGTATTTTATTTTGTAAAACATAGGTTTATTATTAGTGATTCAGAAAGAGAATCTCTCAGACATGTTTCTTATTTCTGACTTTCCTGCTCATAAATTGATCTTCCTTTTTAAATGATAGGAGTTGTCTTGAGAATCTGTAGGGAAGAAAATGAAACAATACTTTGTAAAGAAAACTATCACTCACTTGAACTAACTATATAATTATGCTACAAAAGATAAGATTTCTAGCGAAAATGAGGAGCTAAAGAAGGGGGTACTGCCCCCATTCTTTTCTCCCTTTTTCCAAGAAAATCCTCCAAATATTTGTCTCATTCACTATTCCCAGTTCCTCTTTTCCCATTTTCCTTTAAACCCATTCCAATCTGACTTACAACCTAATCACTCCACTGAAACTGCCCCACAAACTGCTAGATCCAATAGTCAGTCAACTCAGCAGCATTTCATTCAGTTGACCACTCTCTCTTCCTTGTTTCTATTTCTTCACTTGGCTTCCAAAACACTACATACTCATGATTTGCCTCCTACCTTTCTTCCTCCTTTTCTGGTTCCTTCTGTACCCCTCATCATTTAAGGAGGATACGCCCCAGTGCTCAGCACTTGGCCTCTTCTCTTCATTCAACCCCTTGGTGACTTCCCCCATTCTCATGGCTTTACACACCATTTCTACATAACAACGCCCAAATTTTTATCTCCACTCCAGGCTGCTTTCCAGAACTCCAGACAAACACATCTAATCTCCCTGACATTTTCATTTGGATGAACAGACATCTTAAACTCAATCTGCCCAAACTGTGCTTTTGATATTACTCCCCACAACCTGCTCAAGCTGCAGCTTCCCCATCTCAGTTGATGGCAACTTCATCCTCCTAGTCACTAGAATCAGAATCACTGGAGCAATCCTTGCCTTCACATTTCTGTCACATCCCAAATCCAGTTCATCAGTAAGTCCTTTTAGTCCTAGCTACAAAATATTCCAGAATTCAAATCTTCTAAGCACTTCCATTATTGCCAACCTTGTCTGAGCCATCATCTTCTCTTACCTCTTAGTCACACTTCTTCCTTCTATCCTTGTTACACACACTCCCCCCACTCTACTCTCCCATGGAGCATTTCATCCCTCAATTTAAAACTCTGGAATAGTTCTCCATTTCATTCAGAGTAAAAGACACAGTCCTTAACAATGGCTGACAAAGGATTCAGCTCTCTGTTACTTCATTGACTTTCTCTCCTACTACATATAATGCTCCAGCCAAGCTAGCTTCTTGGTCTTCCTCAAAATACCAAGCACATCTATAGAAACAGGAAGCAGATCAGTGGTTGTCAGAGGCTGAGGGGAAGGTGACCACATAATGAGTATGGAGTCTCCTTTTGAGGTAATGAAAATGTTCTAGAACTATATAGTAGTGATGGTTGCACAACACTGTGAATGTACTAAATACCACTAAATTATACACTTTAAAAAGACTAAAATGAGGGCTGACCCCATGGCGTAGTGGTTAAGTTAGGCACACTCCACTTCAGCGACTCAGGTTCCTGGGTTCAGATCCCAGGTGCAGACCTACACCACTCATCAGCCATGCTGTGGCAAGGACCTACAGATAAAGTGGAGGAAGACTGGCACAAATGTTAGCTCAGCGCTAATCTTCCTTGGCAAAAATATTTTTTGTAAATAATTAAAGAAAGACTAAAATGGTGAATTTTATGTATGTGTACTTTACCACAATTTTAAAAAGTGACAAATACACTTCTATCCTTTGCTGTAGCTGTTTCCTCTGCCCAGAGAGCGCTCTTGCCCCAAATATCCCATTTGACTAACTTCTTCCACCCATAAGTCATTGTTCAATATCGCATTCTCAATGAGGCCAACTCTGACCACCGATTTAATACTGCAAACTCCTTCTTACTCTAGGATCTTGCTTACCCTGCTCAATCTTGTAACCGTTTTTTTTTTTTTTTTTGAGGAAGATTAGCCCTGAGCTAACGTCTGTCACCAATCCTCTTTTTTGCTGAGTAAGACTGGCCTGAGCTAACACTGTGCCCATCTTCCTTTAGCTTATATGTGGGACACCTGCCACAGCATGGCTTGATAAGCGGTGCATAGGTCCGTGCCCAGGATCCGAACTAGTGAACCCTAGGCCACCAAAGCAGAGCATGCAAGCTTAACCACTATGCCACCAGGCTGGCCCCTCAATCTTTTAATTTTTTCCCACAACACTCATTTTCTAACATAATAGATAACTTACCGAATATATGTGCTGTTTATTACCTCCTTTGTTAGGGTGAAAGCTCCATGAAGGCAGGGCACTTTGTCTAGTGGGCTCAGTCATGGATTCCAAGGGCCCAGAGAAGTGTCTGGGACACACAAGCACTCCATAAATTACCTGTGAATAAAGCTCTTCAGTGTTTCCAGAGATGGGCAATGACTGAACCAGTCACATTAACTAATTTCTGGAAACTATTTAACCGCCAGATTCATTCACTATTTATTCAAAAAATATATCTTAGGCCTACTATAAGCCAGGCAATTTGCTAGATGTTAGGAATTCGATGGTGAACAAACAGGCATGACGCTGCCTCTTCTCAAGTACAGGAGGGGCTTTAGAAGAATTCAGTGTGGCAGAATAACCTCCTGAAAATTTAAGTTAGTCTTGTTTTTCTCAAATTTAGCTTCGCTGAGGAGAAATAAAAGCTATGTTTTTTCATCCCCACATGCCCCAGAAGGTAATCTTAAAAGTAACCTCAGGGTCTTTCAAGTTGGCCTTTTTGAATGATTAGTCTGAAAAGAAGTTCCAGCTGGGTGGGCGCCCCCAAGACAAATGCTAACTGGGCCTCTGCATCATCGGAAGGCCAAAGCCCACGAGACTCCTGAGCTAGAGGTTTTGTTTGAAAATGGAAGAGGAGATGAGGTCTCAGTACTAGGAGTGGTCCCGTCCCTTGGGGGGTCTAATAGTTTCCAGATACTTAGAAACAACGGGGATTGCAATCCTGCAGAGTGTAAGATACATGAGCCCATTTGATAGCGCAGCTTCTGAGGTGACAATGCCACAGGGGATGCCTGCTGGCAGCCTGTGAGGGAGGAAGAATTAGTCCTAAGCACTATAGCTTTGGGAGCTGAAGCAAAATTTTCCCAGCTGTCCCAGAGCAAAACCAGCTGCCAGTGGAGCCACTCAGTTTGAACTGACGCCACAGGCCTAAATGAAGAGCCCAGGAAAAGTGACCAAAATGGACTGAGGATCCAGTCCCATCCCTCCTCCATTTTCTAGAACCAAGTTCTAGGATGCTCATTTATATATATGAAGAAGGAGGAATCAGCAAGACTAAATGATATTTACTTTCTGGTCAATCTTGATCACAAAAGAAAAACTGAAGATTGAGCCCTTTCATCATTTTATTAGGCAATACTGATCTGTAAGCTCATAGAAGCCGATGTGCCATTTGTCTGTAACTGCAGTTGTAACTAACGCAGTCCCTTCTATACAGTAACTTGTCAAGAAATGAATGAGCAGTGACTTAAAATGAGATGAATGGAAATCTGTTTACATTTTGCAGTAGTTTAATACTTTTCTAGAAACATACCACTTCATTTCAGCTGCCAGTATGTATGGTAGTGGGATTTTGTTTTTGCTTTCATTTGGATCCTGGAAATTTTGTCTCCTATTACTAGAACTCAGTTTCTGTTGCATAAAAAGAATCTCGCCCCCACCCTTCTAGCCCCTCACCCTCCTGCACAATTTGCTTTTCTTTTACCCTTGCTCAGCTGTTCCTTTGCTCACATTTGGGAAGTTACTCATTTTATTTTAAAACTTACTTTTAAGCTCTTCCCTCAAAACAGAAAAAGCCTTACTGTCACGCTGGGTTATTCAGCAACAATCTATTCCCCTCCATGGGATAAACTCAGCCTTCACCCCCATAGTTTATCTGCTCTGGGAGCTGGATTACTGCCTCATAAAGCAGCACAACAGTACTATTATCACATAATCATTATCATTACCTCACTTTCAGCCATACACATCCTTCTAATCCCGAACATCTTGCCTCTCTAATCTTGCTATATCTATCCTCTCCTGCTGTGAAACTGGTGCATTCCATTTTCATGGAAGCTTAATGTAATCACAAATGGAAAAATAAAATATATTTTGTAAGTAGGTTGCATTCTATGGATACCACTGTGTTATAGAGGGATTCAAAATAGCTCCAAATTTCATTCAAGTAAATAAAACAAATGTGTAGGTAGCAGTGAGGGTTGATCTTAGCCTAGGTCCATGTTTTCTTCCCCAATCTTATCTGTCTGGCTTTTGTCATCTTATTTAGGAGAGATTCAATACGACACTTCAGAGTAGGGACTCCTCAGCCAGCAACAGAACTGTCCCCACCCTGAGCGGAGTTTGGAAGAAGCACTGTCATTCTACCGAGATTTACCCAGAGGCTGGAAGTCATCACCGTTTAACTGGGCCTTCTCCATGCCCAGGGAGAATTACGAGCGACACCCAGAGTGGGTTCCTTCCTTGATCACTCTGACAAAAAATGGGCCATTATAATCTACAGCGAAGACATAATCCATGCCATCCCAATCTTAAAAGAAGTAAGCATTGTTCTTTAGTCCTCACAACCAAAGAAAAGAAAGTTAAGGAAAATTGTATAGCACTATCAGTGAAATCAAGTCATCAAAGAATTCACATTTATTTCCTTATGTCCACAGAACTTTTCTTTTTACGTCTGCTTTCCCACTTAGTGTTTAACCTAATAATATAAAATTAGAAAATAAAAATATACATTAAAAGAATGAATAAATGAAATAGCGAAAAACGAGAGAAATAAAACTATAGTTACCAAAATTCCAACCACTCTCAAATAATCACAGTTAATCTTTTGGTATTTAACCTTCCACATTTTTTCATACATAACCAACTGAAACAAAATATTTGTTTTCCAAAGAACTGAATCACCTAACATGTATTGTTTTGTGCACCCTTATTCACTTAATAATAAAGCATGAAGGTCTTCTCTATCAATAAATGTGATATAGAGAAGTTTATTTTTTCTAACTAGACTCTTCCATTCTAAAAGTACATAATAGATCAAGAAATCTATAGAAATTGAACTGTACAGACTTGGGAGCAAACAGAAACATTTAAAGAAAATGTGAGAGAAGCATCTGAAATGAGGATATAGGGAAAAAGTAGAAGGCAGGAAAAGAAAAATATAAAAAGCTATGATTAGGGGGCTGGCCCAGTGGCACAGCGGTTAAGTTCGCACATTCCACTTTGGTGGCCCTGGGTTCGCAGGTTTGGATCCCGGGTGCGGACATTGCACTACTTGGCAAAAGCCATGCTGTGGTAGGTGTCCCACGTACAAAGTAGAGGAAGATGGGCATGGACGTTAGCTCAGGGCCAGTCTTCCTCAGCAAAAAGTAGAGGAAGATGGGCATGGATGTTAGCTCAGGGCCAGTCTTCCTCAGCAAAAAGAGGAGGATTGGCAGTAGTTAGCTCAGGGCTAATTTTCCTCAAAAAAAAAAAAAAAAGCTATGTTAGCACTCAAAGTAAGTAAAATTTTACTTTGATGTTACTTGAAACACAGATTAAAGAGAAAATAATTAATACTGGCCCTAATCCTTAAGAATAGAGAAGGATATAAATATATGCTATAAATTCCTCTCTAAAGAAGAAAATGAGAAAGAACATCAGAAAAATTGAAATATTACAGATTGATGGTGATACATTATCAAATTAGATCATCTCAAGGGTTTAAATTCAACTTTATATCCCTCAGCTTTCTATCCGGTCAATTTTTTCTCAAAACAAGTCAATTAGACACCTTCTTCTTTCTGAAACTTAGGGCTTATAATATCTGAAAAGATTCTTTCCATGCAAATATAGTACAAGTATTAATGATAAGAAAATAATAGTTGTAAAATCACACAATTTCAATTCTTCATCAAGATATATCAAATGCCTACATATACCAGAAGCTGGGCTGTATGTTCAGAAAGCCCCTGCAAAGAACCACAAGCTGGTGGGGGGAAATAGTAATTAGGAAATTCTAAGTTAGAGAATGTGACAGAGCACTGTGTACTGATGAATGACAAGCAGATACCCCAATGGCTCCCTTCTCACGGACTGGGGAAAAACACAAGATTCAGAAGGATCTGAAACAGGTAGAACACCCTAGTGGTTGGAAGTCAGCTCTTCAAAGGCCATAATCTAAAACTCAATCCATGCTATTCCCAAAGGTTTGTTAAAATCCCAGAACTGAGTTCGTGTTACATAACAGAACTTGGTTATATAACAGAAGCATCCCATTCTCCAGATAGACCCAAACTAGGCCTTACTCCCCTCCATATCATAGCACCTCCTTATGGCATATATTTAAAAGCTATTGCATGTCTTGGCCCAACAAGCAAGTCCCATTATTCTATTAGCTATTGCATGTTAAAACTTACA